CTTTGACATATATTTTACCTAAGGCCAAAAATTGTCGTACTAGAAAATGGTAACGGATCGCGAAAGTGACATATACTGTTCCGTTTTCTGCCTTGGGTCCACTGGTAGGTTAGGATAAGGGCACTTTAGTATGGGAGTTTTTTAATGTTGGGAAACCTTAGAAGGCAGGACTGGTGTGTGTGTGTGTGTGTGTGTGTGTGTGTGTGTGTGTGTGTGTGTGTGTGTGTGTGTGTGTGTGTGTGTGTGTTGTTAGCTCAGCATGACGCGGCCCTAGTCTGGCCGTTATATCTATTTCTCTGTTTTTCCGTTGTATGTTCTTCATTTCGCTACACTATGGGGGGAACTGGATGATGTGTGGTGCGGGTTGTATTACGTCCATCGCTTTTGCTATAGTTGAGCTACAGGTTCAACTTTTTTGGAGTTTAACTTTTTTTTACAAGTTTTTTACAAGTTCAACGAGACGGCAACCAATTCAGACAAAGTAGAGCTAATATACATGGACTTCTCTAGAGTATTTGACACCGTATCACATGAAAGTCTGGCATGAAAATTACAAGCACATGGGATAAATGATAAAGCACTAGAACGGCTGAAACAAAGAAAGCAAAGGGTCGACTTCATATCGAATTCCATCCACACCTGGAGCCAGATTCACGAAGCAGTTACGCAAGCACTTACGAACCTGTACGTCTTTTCTCAATATTTGGCGGCTTTGTTTACAATTATTAAACAGTTAATGAGCTCCGAAGCACCAGGAAGCTGTTTATAACAATGACAACAGTTGATTGGGTAGTTTTCATGCTTGTAAACTGTTTAATAAATGTAAACCAAGCCGTCAAAGATTGAGGGAAGATGTACACGTTCGTAAGTACTTGCGTAATTGCTTCGTGAATCTGGTCCCTGGTGCCTTACCAATGGGCAGGAGGGTTAAGGATAAGTGCAGTTCCCTTAAAGTGTAATTGTTGACTGTGCCGGTCATGGGCAGCTGGACTTCGTGTTCGATTTTTTCTTGTTTGAGGGAGAGTTCTTAGGTGATGATGAAAGGAGTCGAGAGAGTCAATTTTAAGTAATCAGCAAAGACATTTGTACGCTCTTGAGGTATAAATATAGCGGCTTGAGGTATATAGTGGCTTAATGTTCCACTTAAAGTTAGTAAATATTATAATGAATGGTTTGTGGTCATGTCCGGTCCAGTGGGATGTCTCTTCCACTGATCATGAAGTGGAGACGAGGAGAAGGTCAGGCAGTCTTTGATTGCCTAAGCATTCTAAACATGGTATGCCATTCTAAACATGGTATGCCATTCTAAACATGGTATGCCATTCTAAACATGGTATGCCATTCTAAACATGGTATGCCATTCTAAACATGGTATGCCATTCTAAACATGGTATGCCATTCTAAACATAGTGTCATTCTAAACATGGTATGCCATTCTAAACATAGTGTCATTCTAAACATGGTATGCCATTCTAAACATGGTAGGCCATTCTAAACATGGTATGCCATTCTAAACATGGTATGCCATTCTAAACATGGTATGCCATTCTAAACATAGTGTCATTCTAAACATGGTATGCCATTCTAAACATAGTGTCATTCTAAACATGGTATGCCATTCTAAACATAGTGTCATTCTAAACATGGTATGCCATTCTAAACATGGTATGCCATTCTAAACATGGTATGCCATTCTAAACATGGTATGCCATTCTAAACATGGTATGCCATTCTAAACATAGTGTCATTCTAAACATGGTATGCCATTCTAAACATAGTGTCATTCTAAACATGGTATGCCATTCTAAACATGGTAGGCCATTCTAAACATGGTATGCCATTCTAAACATGGTATGCCATTCTAAACATGGTATGCCATTCTAAACATGGTATGCCATTCTAAACATGGTATGCCATTCTAAACATGGTATGCCATTCTAAATATCGTATGCCATTCTAAACATGGTATGGCATTCTAAATATCGTATGCCATTCTAAACATGGTATGGCATTCTAAATATCGTATGCCATTCTAAACATGGTATGCCATTCTAAACATGGTATGCCACACATTGGTCAATATCCAATGACACTTCACTCTCAGTCAGGCCTAATTTACATACAAAGCTTACCACATACACAGTAGATACATAAGGTAATAGTTTTATGAAGGGCAAATTTTAGGAAGACTTTGCATCATCTAGTTTTCCTTTATTAAAAAATCATTGGCTGTTAATATAAGATAACAGCAGAAACTTGCAACTACAATAATAATAATAATAATAATAATAATAATAATAATAATAATAATAATAATAATAATAATAATAATAATAATAATAATAATAATAATAATAATGGTACCAATAAATTAATCTATTTATTTACATCTTGAATAAGTGCAAAGAATCACACAGTAATAATATTTGGTAGTCACAGCAGCAACCACTAATTAACAACAATAATACAAATATTGTTGCAGAATTTCAAAGTTTACGTGCAAGGTATATATATCCTCGCCTAGTCTCCGTACTCCATACACTCAACACTGCCACTGTGACGCACGTATTCATTTCCCATTTTCTCAGCAACTGTGTGCAAATATCTATATATCGACCTATAGAGGAACGAATTGTATGTAAACACCCGTATAAACTGCATATGTCCAAACAAACTCATACATGTTTTGATATATATGCGAACAAGTCTGAATGGTCCCCAGGCATATATGCAACTGAAAACTCACACCCCAGAAGTGACTCGAACCCATACTGCCAGGAGCACTCCGCAACTGGTGTACAGGACCCCTTAACCACTCGACCACTACCACTAAAGATGATGGTAGCCGAGGCTAATTCCTCATCATCCCGCCGGCATTCTGATGGTAATCTTTGGCATGGTATTTTATCAAATCACCTCATTCTTTGGGGCACACGTGAGGAACAGAAATGCGAACAAGCCTGAATGGTCCCCAGGTTATATATATATATATATATATATATATATATATATATATATATATATATATATATATATATATATATATATACATATATATATGCATATTCCTGTGTATGAAATGATAATATTAAACAAAGACACTTGCAAAATTATCCCATTCTGGAGGAAGCTTCTGCAATAAGATGCAATCTCGCAAATCCATTTCTTAGATTGTTTTCTCCACTTGTGGCGAGCTATAGCAACCTTCTGTACCCAGCAAACTCTCCAGATTGATCAAGTCTTATGTTCATAAGTTAGTAAAATTAATACGATATGCATCTAAAACTATGCTGATCATTGAAAGCTGTAGCATAATGTCAAGGTATGATAGACGCCTTACAAAACACAATACCTTATTATTAACCTTATCTCAAAGGAACAGAGCATGGTAATATAAGGAAATATACTGCTCAGTGGGAATAAAATTCAAAGAGCAGTTCCAATTCAACGCCGCTTCAACGTCAAGAGCGTTGATAACTTTGATATTCGACGTCGAATCAGCGCCACTCTTGGATATTACGCTCACTGGCTGGTAATGCTTTTATAAATAATTACACGTGATATGTGGCGTGTCTGACTCGGGCTGCATCAGTCTGACCTGAGAGTACAGCCCGGTCCCACCAATTGACATTTCGTAGAAAAAATGCACTTTTTTTTGTCCTATCAAGAAACACAAAATATGCAATTGTTTCTTCAATCCAGATACATAAAAAAAATACAATTTTTTTTCCTACCCAGAACCATATAGAACAACAGAAGTACAACAGTTTTTCCTTTCAGAAACGTAAAAAATGCAATTGTTTTCCTACCCAGAACCATAAAAAGTACAAAAGTTTTTCCTACCCAGAAACGTAAAAATGCAATTGTTTAGCCTATCCCAGTATCCGAAACCGACAAAGAAGCAACTGTTTGGCCTTGTCAGAAACGCTCGAACTGGAACAAGACACCAAACTTTCCGAGATCGATGCTCAGAAAACGTCAATATTATAGTACTTTAATTTGCACTATAACCTCACTATTGTCACCAATTGGTCGATTCTATTTAAAAAAACGGACGTATTACATAAAAGAAAAGCTTAAGCCCCCCATCTAATCTTGCATGGGTAGACTTCAATACCTGAGTCTTTAACTCTATATACCACATAATATTAAACACTCCCAGCAACCTCAAAATTAATAATTTAATACATTTTTGGTTACACTGAAACCTAAACGATTCAAATCGTCGTTACAACGTTGCTAAACGTTATTGCAAGGGTTTTTAAACGTTATATGAAAGTTTCTAAATGATGTCGCAAAGTTTTTAAAAATATGTTAGAACTAACGTTGTGATTAATGTGTGTGTGTTTGCTGGTAGCAGGGATCCAACTCCATAACTACCACAACCAAAACATATATGTTCTTCCTTAACAAAGTCATTTTCATTAACCACTTATAATTCCTCTCCTTAATGCAAATGGTTTTGGCTTTACAAATACCACGGGCAGTGGTACATGGTTTTGGATTCGTCAGAGGGAAGTGGTACCTGCTCTTGGTTTCATCAACGGGTAATGGTACCTGATCTTGGATTCATGAAGGGCAATGGTACCTGTTTTGAATTCATTATGTGGTGGGGGTGGAGGTGGGGGTGGGGGTGGGGGTGGGGGTGGGGGTGGGGGGTGATGGAATCCATTATTGGATTCATCAAAGGGGTGGCGGTACCTGATTTTGTATTCATCAAAGTGCAGAGGTACCCAGTTTGGATTCATCATCAGGGTAGTGTTACCTGATTTACATGACCTGACATATATAAACATTATGACTACCTTTATAGTGATAATATATATGATATATATATATATATATATATATATATATATAAATATATATATATATATATATATATATATATATATATATATATATATATATATATATAATTTATATATATGCCATATAGTTACCTGACAAATATGAACATTATCACTACCTCTACCACCTTTTTTTCTTGGGGGGGGGGGGGGGGGGGGGGAGAGAAATGAGCACTTGAGACCTGCAAATAATGACTGCGAAAAGAATAATTTTCCTACCACAGCTTTTGTGCATTAATTTTGTATAAAAAACATCAAGAAGCTTAAATGTGAGAATAGATTCAGCAAACTAGCATGACAATATAACCCTGATGTGTTTATGTATTGTTTAAGCACTGACTACATCTTATTCGTTATATATCTTCACATACAAGAAGGAAGGGGGAGAAGAAGCGGAAAGGGAGGCTCGAAGTCTCGTAACTTAGAAGTATTAGTAACTTAGATCGAAGTCTCGTAACTTAGAAGTCTTAGTAACTTAGATCGAAGTCTCGTAATTTAGAAGTCTTAGTAACTTAGATCGAAGTCTCGTAACTTAGAAGTGAATGTATTGTTTTTCTGCAACATTTGCAGGGGGGTTTTACAAGCGAATTTCATACAGATGCTGCGACTGAAGATAATATAAGCTGTGAATGAAGATGACAGATGCTGTGAATGAAGATGACAGATGCTGTGAATGAAGATGACAGATGCTGTGAATGAAGGTGACAGATGCTGTGAATGAAGGTGATAGATGGTGTGAATGAAGGTGATAGATGCTGTGAATGAAGGTGACAGATGCTGTGAATGAAGGTGATAGATGCTGTGAATGAAGGTGATAGATGCTGTGAATGAAGATGACAGATGCTGTGAATGAAGGTGACAGATGCTGTGAATGAAGGTGACAGATGCTGTGAATGAAGGTGAAATATGCAATGACGTGCTTAATTGTTGTCCATGGCAGATACTACCCCAAGAATGTGATAGGCAATGAATCATATTTATCTCACTATTGCAGGCTTCGTATGTTCACTTTCAATTTGTCTCCTAAATGTATTAGATAAATTTATATTAGAGAATCTCACTGACTTTCACTTCAATGGTCAAAGCAAGTAGCAAGTGCATACATAAATATCAATTAATATACTAATTAATAGACTTGTATTCTTTCAGACGTAAACTGTGCATGCCAGATGCTGTGATTGAACAAAAAAACATTTGAACAAAAACATTTGTTCAGTGTTCTGTGTTCATGTATTCTCGAGTTCTGGTTAATTCCAGTGCTAATTCTGGTTAAATAACCAGAATTAGCACTGGAACTGTTTACACACCATTCTGTTTACATTCTGAATCTTACTTTAGCTCAGGAATCTGAATTTACTCCAGTCAGTTACAGATTCAGAGCCGAGACGCCCAGTCGCAGAGGGAGAGCTGAGAAGCGAAGAAAATTGACCAAGACAGGAATCAAAACATATCCAGATGACAGTCGAATTTCCTTCCCCGAAATTCCCTACACCGCTCGCGAGATCCTGGTTGGAGATATTTGCAGGAAATAACAACAACGTATTTCTTTTATGCAACTGGTGTGATGCAGTGACATTGTCATATAATACAAAGAAAAATATACAATAACAAATTCGATTTGTGTATGATTATCTAAATTTAAATTTCAGTGTCTGGAAACACACACACACACACACACACACACACACACACACACACACACACACACACACACACACACACACACACACACACACACACACACACACACACACACACACACACACACACACACACACACACACACACACACACACACACACACACACACACACACACACACGATGCTAAAATTATGAGAAGGATTAAAACAGAAGAGGACTGTTTGAGGCTTCAAGAAGACCTAGATAAGCTGAAGGAATGGTCGAACAAAAGGTTGTTAGAGTTTAACCCAACCAAATGTAATGTAATGAAGATAGGTGTAGGGAGCAGGAGGCCAGATACAAGGTATAATCTGGGAGAGGAAATTCTTCAGGAGTCAGAGAAAGAAAAAGATTTGGGGGTTGATATCACGCCAGACCTGTCTCCTGCAGCACATATCAAGAGGATAACATCAGCGGCATATGTCAGGCTGGCCAACATACGAACGGCATTCAGAAACTTGTGTAAAGAATCATTCAGAACTTTGTATACCACATATGTCAGGCCAATCCTGGAGTATGCAGCCCCAGCATGGAGTCCATATCTAGTCAAGGATAAAACTAAACTGGAAAAGGTTCAAAGGTTTGCCACCAGACTAGTACCCGAGCTGAGAGGTATGAGCTACGAGGAGAGACTACGGGAATTAAACCTCACTTCGCTGGAAGACAGAAGAGTTAGGGGGGACATGATCACCACATTCAAGATTCTGAAGGGAATTGATAGGGTAGATAAAGACAGGCGATTTAACACAAGGGGCACACGCACAAGGGGACACAGGTGGAAACTGAGTGCCCAAATGAGCCATAGAGATATTAGAAAGAACTTTTTTAGTGTCAGAGTGGTTGACAAATGGAATGCATTAGGAAGTGATGTGGTGGAGGCTGACTCCATACACAGTTTCAAGTGTAGATATGATAGAGCCCAATAGGCTCAGGAATCTGTACACCTGTTGATTGACGGTTGAGAGGCGGGACCAAAGAGCCAGAGCTCAACCCCCGCAAACACAACTAGGTGAGTACACACACACACACACACACACACACACACACACACACACACACACACACACACTTACGCACACATACACACTCACACACACACACACACAGTTCCTCTGCATAGGAGCTTCAACTCCATTCTGTATTATGATATGTATTATGATATGTATTATGTATCTGTATTATGAGAGTATTATGATACTCTCAGACACGTCACAGACACGTCTACTATGCAGCAGGTGTACTCACAACTTAATTTATATAACTGTGCTGTACATGAAATACAGCCTCAATCTGAGTTAATCCTTTAAATCATTCCATAAAAACACACATACACTTCAATGTTTGTTCCCTTGATATGAATATCAATTCCAAAAATTATTGTACTATTGTACTTCCTGAACACAGATTTTGTTTTATGTCTTGAAATAGCTCTTGACGTTTGACCTGAATTGGTTTGAACTGCGTTTGCTACAGACACACATGAGGTACACTATCATCCGCCAGCACAGGTTCATCCCTGAGGCGCTGTGGGAAGCGCTGTGGGAAGCGCTGTGGAAGGCGCTGTGGGAGGTGCTACAGTACATATCCACTATCACAGATTCTTCCTTAAGGCCATATGTAGTACCCAGTACTACAGTACCCAGCGAGTGCACTCTCACACACCGCCATCGGCTCCTTCCTCAGGCCCTGTAGGAGGCTGTGGTGTCCAGGTTCCGGAGGGAGGGAGGGCCCAGGCGAAGGCGGACCGTCTGCCAGAACTGCTGCTCTCGGTCTCCCACACACACCACCTGCATGCACCTACACAAGGACTGACACACCTGTCAGGGGAAAGGAATGGGTATTGTCATAATAAGTTCACTGTAGGCTACGTCAAATATAATGTAATTATCTTGAAGTAAAGTTGTCTAGAAAATATTGTGCCAATACAGTGATTACATATTGGCACAAATAGAATGAATTATATATTTACGAGAAATCAAATTATTCCAAAATGTAGATATCTATGTTTGTTTCAAATGCTGTGCGCTTTATAATATTTATATTCTCCTTTTGAAGAGATACGTAATTATCAACAGACAACACCATTATTAAGCTGAAGGTGGAGAACGATGAAGCAGTGGTTAGTGATTGTTACTTACGGTGAAGGAGGCGGCGCGGGTCCTCCTGCAAGGGGCCAAAATAAAGGGAGTGACGGAGCAAGGAGAACCCGGGTCCTGCAGCCCAAAATCCCCCTCAGTATAGATGACGGTCCCTCCGACCTCCGTCTTTTTGTCTTTGTCGGCCTCAAGGTCCTCCCTGGAGGCGGCGTTGCTCCCGGTGATCATATTGGACAGTCGCTGACTCTTCGGGGAGTTGGACCAGGTGACCTCGACTTTATTCTCCGGGATATCGAGCTTCAGTTCCCGGTGCGGGTCCTTGCCCTCCAGTCTGATGGCTACGGCGTCGTCCAGGCGGCTCTCCTCTCCGTCTGCCGGCTGCCAACCACACACAACTGGCACTCGCACCTTCCTTACCACCTTCAGGATCCCAATTAAGGTGTTTTTCTCCGGTGAGTTCGCCTGTATCGTCACTTCCTGTTGATAAAGGTTAATTTAAGTCTGTTCAGTTGTTTTGTAACACCATAAATATGTTTTGTATTTTATTTTGACATACTAGAGTCAGTTATATATGATATTTGAGGCGCCAGACTATCGGTCTTTAGTAATTAAGAAGTAACACCTCTAGAGTGTTAATTGCAATAGGTCAGGTCGTGTGAATTGACCTTGCTTTCTGCTAAGCCAATAATTGCAGACGGTTGGTGGTGTCTTTCCATCAAACAAGCCGCTGTTTAGGCATGGTAGGCAGATGGCCTGAGGCTATCTACTTAGTAGGCGGAGCTTAACTCCCGGTTCCCCATAAATACCCAGGGTATTCGTTATAAATACCCAGTTCATTCGTTACAGAAGGATTGACATTGAGCAGAAGCGAGAGAGAGAGAGATCGCTTGTCAAGAGTTTCCAGCCGGCAGACTGGCCTGACACTGTCTGTCAAACTTAGGCTCAGAGACTTTGGTGAGTTGAACTTCATGGTGACAAATCTGGTGTGTTTCTAACTTAAGGTGTTGTGTGGTTTTCAGGGGCAGTCAGCCATAGTGTCCTCAAATTCTTGTGTGCTGACTCACCTTGTATATTAATCTTGACATAGTGAACATAAAGTTTAACTGTTTGAATTATGACATCCATATGAGTGGAGATCTAATGTTAAATATATATATTTGATTGGCTAATGTTGTTTCCTAAAACGTCTTATTTTGAAAGCTAGAGTGGAGAGCCCTCTGAGCTTACTGACTTAAAGATTCTTGCATGTACAAGCACTCACCTAATTGTACTCACCTAATTGTGCTTGCGGGGGTTGAGCTTTGGCTCTTTGGTCCCGCCTCTCAACTGTCAATCAACTGGTGTACAGATTCCTGAGCCTACTGGCTCTATCATATCTACATTTGAAACTGTGTATGGAGTCAGCCACATCACTTCCTATAAGTATATGATTTCAGTTGATACATGCTAACATTTGATAACAGCTTAAAGTAGAGATAAGTTCCATTCCTTGTCTTATAGTTAGCTAACTTGAATGGATGGTGACAGCAACTTTCATCCTTCAATCTTTCTACTATTCAAGCACTCTTACTTTCTACACTCTAATCTCCTCCGTGATCTCAGTCTCTCAATGAAAACTCTTCCTTTTCCCTGACCACACCTTCCTCACACCTCACATTTCTCTACCTCTCTCACCCCATCTTCAGGTTATCTTGAGATGATTTCGGGGCTTACCGTCCCCGCAGTCCGGTCCTCGACTAGGACTCCCTTTTGTTACACCCCCCCCCCCCCCTGGAAGCAGCCCGTAGCAACTGTCTAACTCTGCGGTACCTATTTACTGCTAGGTGAACAGGTGCATCAGGATGAAAAAAACGTTTGGCCCTTTGTTTCCGCCTCCACCGGGGATCGAACCCAGAACCTCAGGACTACGAATCTGAAGCGCTGTCCACTCTGCAGTCAGGGTACCATAATGCCCCCATGCCCACACCTATTTTTTTAATTTCTTTCCAAGCCATTTTCGATACGTTACAGTTGTGCCTCTTGAAAGAATCATTTTGGAAAGTTTCCACAATTGTGAAATAAAAATTTGATTATTTGTATGAATGTCATTGGTGTAGTACTGCCTATCTCGCATGAAACTTACTAAAATTAATAATACAAAAAAACTAATAAACAGATTTATAAACACCGAGAGCATGTGTAGGGACATCGAGTGCCAGTTCACACCTGCAGGAGGAGAGCCAGGATCCTGACGGGGGAGGTGAGGGCGGCGTGGATACCGCTGTAGGTGGCCCACACGGCCCAGGGGCTGGCCAGGAGACACGGCGACACCACCACCACCACGCGACGGCACCGGGAGATCGCACCCAGCATGGACTCGGCCACTTCTGCAGGAGGGAGAGAGGAGGACCTGTGTTTGTGTGGAGTTCGATTCGTTATCTCCGTTACCTTGGGTTTTGCCCCAAGGTTAACGGCGTTGTTAGAGAGAGCAACATTTCAGTTGCAAGTTTCGTTCATTTGCAAGGAACGAAAGGTGTTGAGAGCAATATTTATAAGGAACAACAGGTGTAGAGAACAAGAGGTATAATAAGAAGCAACAGGTGTAGAGAACAAGAGGTATAATAAGAAGCAACAGGTGTAGAGAACAAGAGGTATAATAAGAAGCAACAGGTGTAGAGAACAAGAGGTATAATAAGAAGCAACAGGTGTAGAGAACAAGAGGTATAATAAGAAGCAACAGGTGTAGAGAACAAGAGGTATAATAAGAAGCAACAGGTGTATAGAACAAGGGGTATAATAAGAAGCAACAGGTGTAGAGAACAAGAGGTATAATAAGAAGCAACAGGTGTAGAGAACAAGAGGTATAATAAGAAGCAACAGGTGTATAGAACAAGGGGTATAATAAGAAGCAACAGGTGTAGAGAACAAGAGGTATAATAAGAAGCAACAGGTGTAGAGAACAAGAGGTATAATAAGAAGCAACAGGTGTAGAGAACAAGAGGTATAATAAGAAGCAACAGGTGTAGAGAACAAGAGGTATAATAAGAAGCAACAGGTTTAGAGAACAAGAGGTATAATAAGAAGCAACAGGTGTAGAGAACAAGAGGTATAATAAGAAGCAACAGGTGTAGAGAACAAGAGGTATAATAAGAAGCAACAGGTGTAGAGAACAAGAGGTATAATAAGAAGCAACAGGTGTAGAGAACAAGAGGTATAATAAGAAGCAACAGGTGTAGAGAACAAGGGTATAATAAGAAGCAACAGGTGTAGAGAACAAGAGGTATAATAAGAAGCAACAGGTGTAGAGAACAAGAGGTATAATAAGAAGCAACAGGTGTAGAGAACAAGAGGTATAATAAGAAGCAACAGGTGTAGAGAACAAGAGGTATAATAAGAAGCAACAGGTTTAGAGAACAAGAGGTATAATAAGAAGCAACAGGTGTAGAGAACAAGAGGTATAATAAGAAGCAACAGGTGTAGAGAACAAGAGGTATAATAAGAAGCAACAGGTGTAGAGAACAAGAGGTATAATAAGAAGCAACAGGTGTAGAGAACAAGAGGTATAATAAGAAGCAACAGGTGTAGAGAACAAGGGGTATAATAAGAAGCAACAGGTGTAGAGAACAAGAGGTATAATAAGAAGCAACAGGTGTAGAGAACAAGAGGTATAATAAGAAGCAACAGGTGTAGAGAACAAGAGGTATAATAAGAAGCAACAGGTGTAGAGAACAAGAGGTATAATAAGAAGCAACAGGTGTAATAAAGAAGATACTAACGGTCGCCACCGCACATGTCCCGCTGCGGGAGGAAGCAGGTGTAGCCGCAAGTGTCCTCGAGCGCCGGCAGTAGCACCGACCACACCCAGCACGACGCCGACTCCCCGTGGACCACGAACACGTCGTACTGGTACCCGTCTGTGGGGGTTGTTATGGTGGGTTGTTATGGTGGTTATGGTGGGTGGTTATGGTTGGTTGTTATGGTGTGTGGTTATGGTGGGTTGTTATGGTGGGTTGTTATGGTGGTTATGGTGGGTTGTTGTGGTGGGTTGTTATGGTGGGTTGTTATGGTGGGTTGTTATGGTGGTGGTTATGGTCGGTTGTTATGGTGGGTTGTTATGGTGGGTTGTTATGGTGGGTTGTTATGGTGGGTTGTTATGGTGGGTTGTTATAGTGGGTTGTTACTGTATCTTGATGTTTACCACGGTGTAGTTGTGGTTTACTATGGTTCAGTACTGATAAACAACAACTGTAGTATCACCTGTCACCACCTTACTTGGCAAGTATATTTCCATTAAAATATTACGTCAACACAGATAAGGAAACACCTAAATAACACACCATCACACCATTGAGGCAACATCTGCGTATCGGGAGCCCACACGAGGGAGTCACTGAGCAGCGGCACGTGTCCCTGTTGTGTAAACACAGGTACAATAACAACGCCTGCGTACTATACGACAAAAGAACATCACTTGGCACGTGGTGACTTACCCTTGACCCTTGAGGTTCTGTGGCGCCAGTAGAGTGCCATCTGGAGGCGACAGCGGCACCAGACGCAGAGTGCCACCACCATGACTGCCACCACCGCCACTGTCGCCACCACTGCCGCCTTGTACTGCTCCATGATCACGTGTGTTGGTGGAACTGATGCATCAGGGAGAAATCACATTAGGGAATGACAAACAATGCACAAGACGGTGAATGACTTTAAACTAACCAATTTCAGGTTAGTGGCACATTTTGTAATTAATTATTTTGTTTGAATCTGTAATTTGGTTTGATTTATGCCCAGTTTTTCAATGTTTTTTTTCTGTTAATCATTTTATAAATAATAAACAAGGTTTGTTCTGTGTTTCAGTCCCCTACAACACAACCTTTGTCTGGTATCGTCTGGTATCTCTCTATGTGCGCAGTTTCTGAGAGTCGTTTAAATGCAAATAAAATTATAAATTCTTTAATTGTTTTTAATAACATTACGAATTAACAGCACTCAGCTCAGCACTCTCGCATTCCAGCACCCAGTAAAATAATCCAGTATTCCAGAGCGTTGGACAGGAAATTAAACTTTCAGCACAAAAAATATTTGTCCCAACCCAACACACCCACAACGTCGCTTCAACGTTACGGTTTACTTTGAATGTTTATATAAGCGCAATAATTCTAGTTATAAACAGACAGATAACACAATGTAACACAATTTTTTGTACTTGGGTAGTAAGTTTTATTTGTTGATGGCTTATGCCTTAAATTTTGCTCTAACCATTGACTAAGGCAGCTTAGGAAAGACGTCTTGAAGGTACCGAAGGTTGTCAACTTCTCATTAAGAGTTGTGACACATTGAGGACCAAACCACACACCAGAACAATCGACTTGAGAATGGTTCAGGACGGACCGAAACGTCGTCGTCCCTTCACCTTCTAGTGTGTGGTCTGGTCAACATACTTTAGCCACGTTATTGTGACTCATCGCCTGCACACACCAGAAGATGAAGAGACGACGATGTTTCAGTCCGTCCTGGACCAGGACGGACCGAAACGTCGTCCAACTGTAGTATCTTCTCAGGATCTTCGGCAAGATTATAAAATATATTTGAAATAACTAGGATATAGGATTATTTACCTGAACGTTTAGCAACATGATTGCTAATCGCTCAGGTAAATAACGTTAGGTTATTTACCTGAGCGTGATGTACCTTTGCTTGAACGTTGGGTTATTGGATCTTTGCATGAGCACTGGGATATTTATAAAGATAATCCTAGCTGCTCTCGGGACTACCCACCTCCTTCGGTGAGCTTGACATTCCTTTTCAGGGCGCCGTAGGAGTTGGTGATGCTGCAGTTGTACGAGCCGAAGTGCACAGCCTTCACGCCCCTGATGGTCAGCTGACTCGTCAGCATACCTTTCCTGGGGAGCGTAGAGGGAATGGCTGCAGAGGTTGTATGAGAGAGAGAGAGAGAGAGAGAGAGAGAGAGAGAGAGAGAGAGAGAGAGAGAGAGAGAGAGAGAGAGAGAGAGAGAGAGAGAGAGAGAGAGAGAGAGAGAGAGAGAGAGAGAGAGAGAGAGAGAGAGAGAGAGAGAGAGAGAGAGAGAGAGAGAGAGAGAGAGAGAGAGAGAGAGAGAGAGAGAGAGAGAGAGAGAGAGAGAGAGAGAGAGAGAGAGAGAGAGAGAGAGAGAGAGAGAGAGAGAGAGAGAGAGAGAGAGAGAGAGAGAGAGAGAGAGAGAGAGAGAGAGAGAGAGAGAGAGAGACAGAGAGACAGAGAGACAGACAGACAAACAGAATGAGAGTGAGTCCTATCACGACAGAGCACTTATAAACAGCCATCGAATGACTTGATGAATTTCCCCCTAACAAGATAAATACAAACAGATGTGCGACGTGTAAATTCAAGAAATGTTTGCTTGTATAGCCACCATTTTCCTAGTTGATTAAACAAATAACACATTCGGGAACATACGTATCCAATTATTATCTTGATCTTAGCCACTGTCAACAGTGACGACTATTGCAAGGTATTGTATTTTGACATTGAGTTGCTGAAACATTAACTTAGCTTTATGCTGCACTACCAACTCATCAAAAGTGCATCTGAAAATTTAAAGACAAAAGAAATCGATTTACATATCGTTAACAATGCTAAAATAAAACTTCTCCTTATAGGTGTATAGGAAAAAAATAATTTTCAACATTTGCAAGAATTCATCCACGTAATGAATTAATGCAATGATGTTTGTTCCACTGAGCTATTGTTGTCTGTGTCCCATTCCGGAGCTGCTTACTTGTCGGAGAAGGTGCGGAGTTTGACGTTGGGCAGGACCTTGGCCCAGGTGTGTACGGAGCCGTTCGGGAAGAACTTAGTCCACACCACACTGGGATTGAAAGCTCCAGGAGAACTGCCAACGAAGGCCTCGCAGGTGAAGCTGACGTTGGCGCCCAGCGTGGCCAGTGTGTCGCTGGACATCAGGGAGCCCATCGGCGCCTCCCGGTAGTCGGTGTTGTCTGCCAACAGAATTTGGAATGTTATAAAGTTGTCTTTCGTCAACTAAGAAATTCTTGCAAGTGAAAATATTTAAAGTCCTTTAAAATTTCAATATTCATTTTGATTTAGATTTTAAAAATTCCCTAAATCGCCTCCACTTGGAACCGATTCTTTAGTGAATTACTGATAATGTAAATTATTGGAAACTGTATATAAAGCAAACTAGAACTGCACAAATTAACATGTGTGTGTGTGTGTGAGAGAGAGAGCCAGGGGCCTAACCTTCTATATCTAGTTGCATGGTTTTGGTGACGATGGTGCCATTAGAGGAGGTAACGGTGCAGGTGTAATTGCCCATGTCTGTAGGTAGAGCGCCGTTGGTCTCCAACGTCTCCGGATAACATGGGTGCTTCCTGAAGGTGCTGATCTCCTGCGACCATGGGAAATTCTCTCCTTTAAACGACCTGAGAGCGACACACCCACAAGATCCAGGTCAGCATGATTATCAGAACTGGTAACTGTGTGTGTAAGATAACTGTAGTTCCACTAGAATTGGGCAAAGAAACAGTGCTGAGTCGTGAGGTGGAAGCGAGGCCAAGGAACCTACCACAGTACGGAGGCGGAGCGGTCGGGGTAGCCCAGGAAGTGGGCCACGCAGCAGTTGATGTTGCCGCTCCTGGAGGCCCCGATGGTGTCGTCGGGTAAGGGCACTTGGGTCTTAGCCATCATCAACCTGTCACACGGACACGTCCCGGCCTGACTGCTGGGGGAAGATGGTTATGGAGGTGAGATGAAGGGCTGTGAGATGGATGGTGTGGGATGCTGCCCACATCTATACCACTCCACCACCTTTTTTGTGTTGCATATGTGCCTTTTTTTCAAGCTGCATATTTGTTTTATGATGCATATCTGTTGTATATTGAACATCTGCATATTGTGCATCTGTTGCATGTTTCGTGTCTGATGCATATTTAGTATGAACGAGCAATTGTGGAGACATGACAACCACATATAAAAGGAAGATATGCAATTTATTTAAGTTCCCATGCATTAAAAATATTAGTTTGCACCACATCTTGCCGCTAACAGCTGGCCATAAAATTAGAAAACAAAGTGACAAGCCGGAATGTCACTTTGACGGTTCAATCCGCTCACAGCCGATTGGTCATGGGTTCGATTCCCGGATAACGTTAAGGAACGTTTCCGAAGAGTGAAGAATTTTATAATGCAGTAGCTAGAGAAAGGACCGTGCATGTATTACCTACTAATATTAACGAGAAAGAAATTTCAGCTCTTGGCCCTATCTTTTTAGTTACTCGTTATCTTGTGCGGATAATTCCGGTCTTATTAATTACTCAGTATCTTCTTTTGAAGATTTGGATGAAGATAACCTCCAGTATCACCTCTCCTAGCTCCTTCTGCTTGATTTCTATCTCTAAACATTTTTTTCGTTGTAGCCGGGTACCCAAATGAACCACAGAGACATTAGAAAGATCATTTTCAGTGTCAGAGTAGTTAATATATGAAATGCATTAGGCAGTGATGTGGTGAAGGTTGACTCCATACACAGTTTCAATTGTAGATGTGATAGAACTCAAGAAGCTCAGGAATCTGTACATCAGTTGATTGACAGTTGAGAGGCGGGACCAAAGAGCCCTAGCTCAACCCCCGCAAGCACAGCTAGATGAGTACACACATATGCACACTCACACAAGAGTGATGTGGTGGAGGCTGACTCCATACACAGTTTCAAGTGTAGATATGATAGAGCCCAATAGGCTCAGGAATCTGTGCACCTGTTGATTGACGGTTGAGAGGCGGGACCAAAGAGCCAGAGCTCAACCCCCGCAAACACAACTAGGTGAGTACAACTAGGTGAGTACACTCCCTGAACTCGGAGGAAAACCCGAATATGATATATATTTTCCTATTGTTGGGACAGGAAGGCTATTAGGCTTGTCGAGATTCTCCTAGTCAAGGTCGAGACGGTCCGCTCTGCCACCCAGCCAGTTACTAGCCACACTTAGTCAATTGGTTAAACACCACTAAGTAACTTGCACATGACCTACAACACCAATAAACGCAGCAACAACTCGTGGCTCAAGAAGCATCTCCACGCGTCAAGATAAAGCACCAAAAGATTGGGAGGAAGAAAATGTAGATCATGCATGACAGACTCAGACGAGATCAGCAGAAGAGCTGGAAATAAGAACAAAACCAATTAAAATGCAGAGAAAAATATTCGCAAACAATTTATTAACCACAGTCATACCATAATCACTCCCTTCCAAGCCAAAAAACACAAATTAAAGAACAGTCAAACTTCGTCTTGAGGCAACATACGATGCCATAAATCATATTGAGAGTAACCATCCCAGCAAGTTCCGTCTCTACAACATCAGTAATCTCAGGAGTCTGCCTCAGAGATCCTTGCAGTTCACTGGATGGACCTGCCATTGTCATGTGCACACCAGATCTTAAAGTTCTCTTTTTGGTTACTCTGTTGACTGAATTTTCTATTAAGGTTCCTGGAAGGTTGGAGAAGCAGGAAAATATCACGGATGACGGGAAGAAGTATGCAGCGGATATAAAAATAATGAGACATAAGAAGATGAGTATGGAGTGTAGTAGAAGTGAAAGAAGTATTTATGTAAGTGAAGGAATGGGCATACAAGTATGCCCATTCATACAAGTATGGGCATACAAGTATGCCCATTCCTTACTTTTCCCAAAATGAAAAGTAAGTTGAAGAAAGAGGAAAAACGAAGAGAGGAATGAGGAGGCAGAGGTGAACAAGGAAAGATACAGGGAAGGATATAGGTTAGAAAATGTGAGAAGGAGAGGAAGATGGAGACGAGGGGGAATTTTGGGGAGAAGAAGGTGTGAGTGTGAAGAGGAAATTGAAGAAGAGGAGAGGAGGGCAAGGCAGTGGAGGTGAGAGAAGAGGAAGCAGCGAAGTTTTAGGGATTGTAGAAAGAATTTGAAGATGGAATTTGATGAGTGATGAGAGGTGGGTGTGGACGCGGCACGTACCCAGGTGAGAGCCAGCAGAAGCAGGGTTGCAGGTACAGACAAACAAGCCAGAGTATGGTTCGTAGTCAGTAAACAGTTAATGAACTCATCCATGGTTCAGGAGGGGATGCTTACCTATCTCCCGGCTGTATCATCCAAGGAGAGAAGAGCAGCATCCACATCATCTGACGCAACACGCAACCTTCCTGCTTCTTCATCTTGACCAAGGAACCGACCACACAACCATTCCTCTGCAAATAAAACATAAAACTCTATCTTTCTGAGCATAATTTTCATTATAACTACAAATGCTTCGGAAGCCACGAAACAGTAATTTTCCGAATCAGAAACTTGATTAAAATATCCTCTGCCTTCAGAGACCTTGACGGAGGAACATACACACACACACACACACACACACACACACACACACACACACACACACACACACACACACACACACACACACACACACACACACACACACACACACACAAACACACACACACACACACACACACACACACACACACACACACACACACACACACACACACACACACACACACACACACACACACACACACACACACACACACACACACACACACACACACACACACACACACACACACACACACACACCCAGACATAAGATAAATGAAGGGAAAATATATGAACATTTTTATGAGCGTGTGTTCCATGCAGGATGATTAGAGTGCAGGTACAAAATGCACTCCAGGTGCATTTTGTACCTGCACAAAAATAAGGAGTGCAGGTTTACATACACTGCTTAAAGAGTGCATGTAAACTCCGTTCAAAACAATCCCACCACCCTACAACAGACTCACAGAGAGAACACGAACACCTCCGCATAAATGCAATCCCAAACACCGGACGGAAAACCCTAGATTATAAGCGAAACAGAAAATTCAGTTCCCAACCAGAGCTACGCGGTCGGGGGATCAGAGATATAACAATTTTAGCAGATAGGAAACCTGCCCAACAATTTCTATCCCGCCCCATGCCAGTCGACGTTCAATCCCTGACCGTTCAAGCGGTTGGACACCATTCCTTTCCCCGTCCCATCCCAAATCCTTATCCTGACCTTTTCCAGGTGCTATATAGTCGTCATGACTTGGTGCTTTCTCCCTGATAGTTCCCTTCCTTTCTACCCCGCCCGGGAATTGAACTCAGGATCCCCAGTTATATATATATATATATATATATATATATATATATATATATATATATATATATATAGAGAGAGAGAGAGAGAGAGAGAGAGAGAGAGAGAGAGAGAGAGAGAGAGAGAGAGAGAGAGAGAGAGAGAGAGAGAGAGAGAGAGAGAGAGAGAGAGAGAGAGAGAGAGAGAGAGAGAGAGAGAGAGAGAGAGAGAGAGAGAGAGAGAGAGAGAGAGAGAGAGAGAGAGAGAGAGAGAGAGAGAGATATGAAAGAGAAGATAGATAAAATGAGAAAGTAGTTGTCAGAAGAAGACGTGAAGCCGGGAGGACTATATAGATAATAACATGAATAAAATACATATTTTTAAAAATACTTGTGATTATATTTTCCTTGAATAATTAAAAACAAAAAATAAAACGGCATACCATCAGAAAAAACCACTTGTTCTCTATAATCCATCACCATTTTCTTCGGAGTCAATTTTGAATCACACTGACACACGCACACACAAAAACATATTTTGTCTCCACTGGTATATAAACACTGAAAGCTGGCTAGAAGCTAGAAAGCTTGTATATAAACACTCAAAGCTGATCCCAGCCGTGTAGCCCAAATTCCTCAGGAAATTTCACATTAAGAGTTGTGTATGTATAGGTATGACCAGAGGTGGAACCTTTAGACTGGAAGGCCCACCGTCACAGCTGGCCAAGCGTGTGTATACACACACAGTAATGCACAGTGACCACCCCACCCAGGACCTGCTCGCCTCGCCATCAACAGCAGCTACTGTAGGCTCGCCGGAGTACTCCCACGACTGGGAAATCTTAGCTATTGTTGATGCTCTTTCGTTCATGGTATTAGGCAATGGATTTCCGGCTGGAGAACCCAACCCTAAGAAAAATTCCACCTCTTTTTCAAGAATTAAAGAACTTAACACATTAGAAGAAATTTTTGGTATGTTTTGAGCGATGAAATTCGATACTTCTTATTAACTTCTTAATATAAAGACAAAGAAAAGCTGTGAGTAGCGTCACTATATATATATATATATATATATATATATATATATATATATATATATATATATATATGTATATATATATATATATATATATATATTATATTTTTGGTAGCAGTCTTTCTTGTAAACATATGTTGTTGAATGTGACAGGGTAAGATTAGTAATTCTAACACGAATCTTCTCAATATTTCTTACGTTCTTCTTCACTGTCGGGGGTAATTAATAAATTAACTCTCCAAAATTCATTCTTTAGTTCTGATCTGACGCTTGAATGCGTTTCGTAATGCTTATTACATTTTCAAAGACTTAGTTTACACATAAAATACATCATATTTATACTCGTTTTGGGTAAGGTGATATGGTACACAAGTTTTGGGTGAGGTGACAGAGCATATGACAGAACACAAAACAATACGTATAAATTGGGTATGAAAAACATAAGAATGAAAGTAACTGCAGAAGGCTTATTGGACCATACTTCCTCTTTCAGCTTCTATGTTGGTTCGGGGTCTTGAAGTGGGTAGAATATAGTTGTGCATTAATTGGCTGTTGATTGCTGGTGTCGACTTTTTTTTGATGTGCAGTGCCTCGCTGATGTCAAGTCTCCTGCTATCGTTGTATTTATTGATAATTTCTGTATTGCTTGTTAAGATTTCTCTGGTGATGGTCTGGTTGTGAGAAGAGATTATATGTTCCTTGATGGAGCCCTGTTGTTTGTGCATAGTTAATCGCCTAGAAAGAGACGTTGTTGTCTTGCCTATATGCTGAGTTCTTTGGGGCTGACAGTCCCCAAGCGGGCATGTGAAGGCATAGACGACGTTGGTTTCCTTCAGGGCGTTATGTTTGGTGTCTGGGGGAGTTCTTCATGAGTAGGTTGGCCGTTTTTTTGTTTTTTGTAGTAAATTGTCAATTATATTTTCTGATTTTTGTCTGAAGGGAAAACGTTCCTATCAATTGTAAAACAGTCTAATAGGGGGTACAAGTGTTGTGTTGGTTGACTCTTCAGAGGTTGCATGGCGTTTCATCTTTCTTTTTATGATGTCTTCAACAAAACCGTTAGAGAAGCCATTGTTGACAAAGACCTGCCTTACCCTGCAGAGTTCTTCATCGACTTGCTTCCATCCTGAGCTGTGGCTGAGAGGCCGGTCGACGTAAGCATTGACAACACTCCTCTTGTACCTGTCTAGGCAGTCCGCTAGAAAATGTCGTCAACATACCTGCAGTATATGATGGGTTTCAAGTCCATGTCAACTAAGACCCTCTGCTCGATGGTACCCATGTAGAAGTTCACAACAGGACACCTAGGGGGGAACCCATGGCTCCCCCATCTACTTGCTCATACATGTGCCCATCTAGACTCAAGAAGGGTGACTCTTTAGTACAGGCTTGGAGTAGCTTCCTTATTATGTTTTCTGGTATGTCAAGAGGAGTACACGATAGATCACGATACATTCTATTCGCTATCATCCCAATCGTTTCACTACAGGTACGTTGGTAAACAGTGACTCTACAACCAACGAGGCTCTTATCCCTGCTGCCCGTGCTCTTGGCAGTAAGTCAACAAATTCCTTTGGAGACTTCAGGCTGAAAGCACAATGTACATAAGGAGTCAGCAAGCAGTTGAGTCGCTTAGCCAGTCTGTATGTGGGTGTGGGTATCTGGCTTATGATTGGCCGAAGTGGGTTTCCAAGCTTGTGGGTCTTGACTTTTCCATATGCATAACCATGTTTGTATTCCCCATTAACCTTTGGCAGGTGGAGTCCGGATTTCTTGGCGTTCACAGTTTCTATCAATCTGTTTACCTTCGTTTTCAATTCGACTGTAGTGTCCTTCGTTACCCTTTGGAATTTAGTTTGGTTGGAGAGTATGAGGTTAATTTTTGCCAGATATTCGTCTTTTTTAAGAATAACGTATACTGACGACTTGTCACCTCTCTTGACGACTATCTCCTTGTTCTCATGAAGGCTCTTAGCTGCCGCTTTGAGCTCGGGGGACAGTATGGTGCTTCTGTAGTTACCTCGAGTCTTTCCTCCTTCTGCAATAAGTTCCGCTTGCGAAGTATCTTTAGTGGTAACCTTCCTTTGCGTTTCGAGGTCGAATATGTCATCTAATAGGATCTCCAACTCCACTTTCCGGGCCGTCTCACTTGGTCTGGATATAACGTGACAGTTTATACCCAGATTTAAGAGAGTGATTTGGTCCTCAACCCAGAGATGACTTCATTCAACGACCCATATTAAGATGGCTTCTTAAACCTTGCTGGAATCAACCTCACTGAGGACCAAATCACTCTCTTAAATCTGGGTATAAACTGTCACGTTATGTCCAGACCAAGAGACGGCCCGGAAAGTGGAGTTGGAGATCCTATTGGATGTCATATTCGACCTCGAGACGCAAAAGGTTACCACTAAAGATACCTTGCAAGCGGAACTTATTGCAGAAGGAGGAAAGACTCGAGGTAATTACAGAAGCACCATACTATCCCCCGAGTATACTTTGGTAGAAGTCTTTCTTGTAAACATATGTTGTTGAATATGACCGAAATGGTAAGATTAATGATTCTAACACGAATCTTCTCAATATTTCTTACGTTTTTCTTCACTGTCGGGGGTAATTGAAAAAATTAACTCTCCGAAGTTCATTTTCTCATTTTTTATTTATAGTCTGACGCCTAAAAGCGTTTCGCAAGGACTTCTCACATTTTCAAAGACAGGTTTACACATATCATTTCATGCTTATATTCATTTTGGGTGAAGTGATATGACATAAATGTTTTTGGGTGAGGTGACAAAAGCCAGAACACGAATCAATGGGTATATATTGCATATGAGAACATAAGAATTAAAGTAACTACAGAAGGCCTTTTGGCCCATATTTTCTCTTGCTGCTTCTATGTTCGTTCGGGGTCTTGAAGTGGGTAGAATAGTTATGTGTTAATTGGCTGTTGATTGCTGGTGTTAACTTTTTTATGTGTAGGGCCTCGCTGATGTCGAGTCTCCTGCTATCGCTGTATCTATCGATGATTTCTGTGTTGCTTGTTAAGAT